AAAATTGGAGAATAAAGCTGCGTACAGATGCGATGCATGGAAATTAAATGCATATAGAGAACATAAGTTATTACCATTGAGTATATGACTCCAAACTTATGTGTATGATAGCGTTGCAAACCGTTGCCAGCGTTGGGGTAGTCCAAAAACATGCTAATATCAGCGTACAGGAGGTTTGCTCGACTGCTTGAACTGCTGCTTCGTGTGCATGTGCGTAAGATCATACCACCAATTTACTTAGCAGGCTGCAAGATGTTCGAGTACAAGCAGCTGATGAGTACATAGAGGATATCTCCAATGCGATAATCGTATAGCCACGGAAATATTAATGGACGATAATTGTCGTTGAGCCATTGCTTTAATAAGCGATTCGAAACATGATAATGCGATACGGAAAAATAAATGGAATGAACTCACTTTAATCATGAATATCGTTCGTGTTATCGAAAGAAGTAAAATAATTCCGTGAGTTACAAATGTCGTGCCGTGAACAGAATATTCGAAATGCGATTCCATTAGCGATTAAGATAATTCCATTATTGTCATAATATCATGATTAATCATAATAATGGTTCTTTCACATTAATACGATAATGATAGCGATAATTCGAGAAATATATTAATGCGACGAGTTGGTACATAATCAAAATGACGATAAGATAATGCTTGATTCGTTCAGCTAATGCATTAAGTATGAGAGCTGCTTTGTCACTGCATGGCGTCGGGATTTCCAGTTAGTGGTTCTGTTCGATTTGATCTCGAGATTACCAACTGGTTGGTTACATTCGATTTGTCATCGGAATCGTCGAATTATGTAGTGAGAGTTTACTGATCTCCTGTGAACACGTATGGACGAATTAATCGAGCGAAGCGATTACGAAGTGATATGAATGAACGACGGGTTCACCATTTTGTATGGTGGCCAATTTCGTTGACGTTGGGCTCACCATTTTGTAGTGCACTGGCGAGCGAATGCACGGAAGAATGATTGCATTCGATTCTACGTCGAAATTACCAATTAATTGGAAGCGTTCGATTTTTCGTCAGCATCAGGAAACATCCTGAGAACGTCGGGCAGCTTTGTGATGAGTACGTTAGATTCAACGGCGGGCTCAACATTATGTAGTGTGCCGATAACTGCTTGTTCTTAAGCTCGGTTTCTAAATCAGAAGATGACTCGTATTGATGAATACCTTTATTTGAGGTACACCACAAAGCGAAGCGGAGAAGCAAATTGGAGAAGGCTAAGAGCCAACTCAAAGAGGTAGAACATGACTAAGAATATATAGTCAGATAAAAATAAGACAGACATGTGACAAGCGAAATAGGTATGCACACATATGAATAAAGCGAAGAATGATTGACAAGTTCAAAAGCAAGCGAGACAAATCATGTGAGTTCATGGGGAAATTAAGAGATTACCATTAAAGCGAAAAGGATGAGTAAGTGCGTGGGCGTAAGCAATGCTCAGTCGTATAAGCTCATACAAAGCAGATACTAAAAAATACCAATGGAACATATGAGTTGTTGCTATACAAATGGCTCGGTTAAATAAATTAATCGAAAGGACTTAAGCAAATCAAATGTAAGCGGATGCAAATAAATTTGGAGGCACTACAGACTGACGGTGATTCTTACAATTAATAACTAAACACCTAGTGCATAAAATCTCGTTTTGTAAATACGTTCACTGATTCCAATATTAGCTAAGGTTATACTCTAATGTATCGGATTTAATTAAACATCACTTATCAGCCTCGATGTTAAACTGTAGTGCCTCCACATATATTTCAGTTCTCTCACATCTAACTTGGTTAAGCCCTTTCGATTAATTTATTTAACCAAGCCATTTGTATAGCAACAACTCATATGTACGATTGGCTTTTATTATTGTGTGGTTTGTATGCGCTGGTATGATTGAACATTGTTTACACTTGCGCGCATATGGATCCTATTCGCTTTAATATTAATCTCTTAAATACCACGATGACTCAGACATTTTCCTTTGTATATATACGAACATTTTTATCTTATTAATTCATTCGCACATTCGCTCATTCGCATATTCGCTCGCTAGTGTGTCTGCCCGGTCTGTCTGTGGTCTGCTATCTTTATTGTGGTGTGCTACAATAAACGTATACGATACTTGGAATTTATCTTCTGAATTATTAACCGTCAGACGTCATTTGGATAAGACAATCTGAACGGGCTTATTACGAAACGTAAGAACACGCATTAAACCGGCACACTACAAAACTGCTGAAAGTAATTGGAGTTAGGGAAATATATCGGCGCAAAACATGTCAGGCATGCCAACGTGAGCATCTTACCGTTGCATCACTACTACTCCCATTGAGAGAATCCTCGAAATAAGAGTGAATACTCAGGTTCGTGCACACGTGTTCTTAGTGAGAGGCGTTGCAACTTCAAATGCACTGCAAGCCGAGGTAACCACAATTCCCCAGTGGACAGCTTCGAGAAGAGACTTGATAATGACGTACTCACATACTGGTTATAATACCCCTCTTGGAGAAAATCTGCTTGTCATCATTACCATCTCCTCAGAACTTTCAGTTGATTTATCTCGCCTATTATCTTTGTTTCCTCTCTGTCGCTTACACATTCGTAGAATATCTACATACTTCTTGAATTTTCCCCGTATTATTATTCACACTACAACCGGCTGATCTTCGGCCTGCTAAAGTTATAGCTGCTGGTATCCAGAAACCCTACTACACTTAAGCAAATATTTTCATTCGAATCACGTGACATAGATACTCACAACCGACTGCTACCTGACTAGAATTAGACATTTGAGTAGCTAGAATTCCATTCATTGTATACTACCAAACACCTGAAACCGTACCGAAAGAACAAGAATCAAGCGCAAAGATATTAACTGGTTCAAATTAGCTCAAGAAAAAAGTATTGGCTATTAGTAACCCACCCAAAAGTTTGAAATCTGTAAACTCTATGCCTGGTGAATCTGTGATTGATAGAGTCACACATTTATCTTATGAGCTTTGCATCTTTTGTTCAGTTTACGAGTATATATTATTTGTCAAACGTCAGTTGTCAAGTAATCCTCCATAGAAGAAAACATACAAAATCATTTAACAACTCTAATGACGAAGAATGAACGAACCTAATTTCTGGCCTCACATACACACACACACACATTCAAATCAGTTAATCTACAACTTTCTCAGCTACCACAGCAAATACTACTCAGTTTAGAATCAATTCAAACAAACATTACCATTGCTTCGAGTTAAAACGTCAAGACTATACTAAATGCAATGGTGAGCTGCTCAGTCAGCCTAATTAAGATTATTTTAGGTTACAGCCATTTATATTCTTATGGTGTGACATTTAGCTCAATACATTTCAAACAACAAGCAGTATACAAAATCACTCAAAGCACACAATCTCAAACTTGTAACAGTTTGGTCTTTCACCTGGCTAACAACTCCTCCTATTAACTGCAGTAACTGATTATTTGTGTGCCTCTTGACCTTTCCTCACCGAAACAAAAATGAACAGTCGAACGACTATTCCACCCAGTATTACTCCTTTACTCTAGTTAATTTTAATTATTCCATCCTTCCAGGAAATTTGTTTAATATATATAATAATAGGGCAGATTTAGTCATGGTTAAACATCTTTGTTAACACTCAATCATAATGTTACCTGACTCATAAACCACTAGCAATATTTCTAATCAAAGTAGATTGCTTGAAAACTATGATAGTAGGCGTCACAGTGAAATATTACCCTACTAAAAAAAAATGTGGGCTTCTGACAATCATGATCATCATATCTTATCTGGGTGTATTTATTACTCGAGAACCCTGAAATTTAAAGACCATACCCCATCCTATTTTCTTTTTATCTAGACGGCTTTTGTTGTTCATAAATGTAAACTACTAGACAAATAAGTCTAAGCATACACTTTTCGAAACTGTTTAATCGGTAATCCTTTGGATACTACTGATTTATCTTTTTTGAACATGTATATCGTAGACCAGATAGGAAAGGAAGGAGCTTCAGAGAATCTTCACACAGTGACTACTAAGATATAACGATACTCTTCAAGCTACAGGAAGAAAGATCCAAGAATCATTTTTCAAAAACTATCGGTCAGTTTTCAGCTGTATAATATATGGCCTTTGGTTTGTAAAATCCTGTCCAAACACGACCCTGCTTACTGGCATAGAAACAGTGCGTATATGCAACTAACGGTAAAACACAAAAAGTTATTGCTTTCTAGTTGATTTGAAATACGATACAATTTTTTTTGGAACTGCGTACCAACTACTATCTTTATTTACAACTATATCCCCGTGTTCAAAGTTCTGGTATGTAAAGATATTTACCGAATATATGTCCAGAACTCACATCAAATCTCAAGTTAAGTTTAAATTTTTCAACTTATATACAATCTAACCCTAGAAACTAATTGCGAAACATGAATACATCAAATTGTCATGACCATTTATGATGCATGTATCTCGGAATGATAGACATTAGATTACGCTACCCACAGACGTAAATCACTCTTCCTTACTCTCACCACTAACAATAGTCTTCCAATAGTTCACATAACTTTAAGTTTATGTATTTGGTATACAGAGAAATTCCAAAACCTACCATTACTGTTCATCTATCGTTGGTCACTAGAAACGCAAACTATTCCTTAACATTGTGAATTCTTTCTTGTTCATGTATTATCATCATTTTCGTAGTTATCTGTTTATCTCCAATTCATCAACAATACTTTCTTAATAACTGATCGCTTAAATCATTAATTTTTAACACTACTTTACTTCACATCTTTTCATCTGCTACCCTTTTCTTACATTCTCAAGGTATCATGTTAATTCAGCTAGAAGTACTTATTGTCCATAACTATCCATTAACCGAATCACAAAAAGAAAAACAACTATTTTATGATAAGTTATTTATTTATAAGCAATAAAACAAAAATTTACTGTTATATTTTTAAAATGAAATCAAGTAATTTTTCATAATCAAATAATAAGTTGAAGTTCACTTTTTTATTCTTATTTCCAGATGTGTGTGCTATGAAGAAACACAAACGTAAAATATCATTGAACATTGATAATTTCCATCATTTATCATTTATCAGTTATTTGCTTTTTTGATCTCACAAACAAATCGATATATGTATATATATATATATATCTTGCAGTCATTGGTTACTGTCAAAATGTCATCATATCAACACCAATTTCGTTATCATTAACATTGTATACAATACAAAATTCACTGTTTAAGTTAGATTTATTGCTTACTTCAATTGTTTAATAGTATAAAATCTCAGACAGAATCCTAGATATGACAGCGCGTTCAACTATAAATAAAATTAAAAAAAGCCAACAGAACAAATAACTATTTGTTCCAATGTTGTGAGAGCTAAATTATAAGTAGTATATGACGTGAGTGTCAACGTAATGTCTGGCAGCAGAAATTGGGGCAAGATCAAGAAAGCAAACAGTTTGAACACTATGGAATTTATATGAAACGCGTGTATAGTGACAATGGATTGATGTTGTTTGCAACAGGAACAGTCCAGTTCGATAGGATGAACTGATATTTTGCAAATTAACGATTAACGTACACTATAGTTTTCCTATTTTAATGAGTAACTCTGTAATTTTTTGTTAAATACAATCCAGTTGCTCCACCTGTGTTCTCGTTCAATACACCAAAATAGATTTTTGAGAATGTTCTTTAAAATTCATGAAATTAATTTGAATTTAATTGAAGACGACATGAAAAACAACTGTAACACAATTATTATTATTATTATCGTATTAATTAACATTACTTTGCTCATCACTCATTAGTTTTCTTTATAAATTACAATTTTTATAAATCTTACTTACCAAGTTGGTAATTATAGTCTTTGATGGCTTGTACTAATCTTAATATTGTCTGATATAAATCGTTGAGATCTAAGAAATAGAATACATAAAATTAGAAAAAATAAAAATCATTTTTCAAAGATATCATCGATTGTGAAGATTGTTCAATAGTAATAAATAAAATTGAGGAGATCAAGAACCAATCCATGTTAAAGTAGTATCATTGTAAATCTAACTATTTTTATCCCACTAGTGTGTAAAACTAACTACACAAATTCGGCGCATATTTTTTTTCTTATTCATCCAGTAGTAGTATTGTTTCACCTGTTAGTGTATTGTGCATAAAAATCTAAAAGTTACACATTTGAAATAGTATACTATAGTATAGTATAGTATAGTATAGCTAGTATAGTATGCTAGCTTCCTTAGTGCATTATCAAGAAGTTCAGTAAAAATTTCTAATTTCTCAGTAACATAAATGTGCTTAATTATAATGAATTATTTTAGTGAACTGATGATTAATGAATTATCTGAAACAAGGATTCACATAAAACATAAATTTATCACTGATCTTTGCTTAGTCTAGGCACAGTGGGGGAAGCCAATTAAATACGCATATTTTCAAAAAATCTACTCATGAATTTGAAATACTACATCTCAAGGTCAAACAAAACATTCAACATCCACTGTTGAATATTGAATTTCATCAAAGTAAATGAATTAAATCACGTTACCGTCACGGTTAAATTCAAAATGAGGACAAATGGGGTCCACCATTTCTATGGAAATAAAATTTAATGATTCTGATTAGTTTCATACTACTACTGATTACAAAGTTTTCTGTCGATTCAATGAAATTAATCATAGTTTAGATTTTATTCTCTCTCTTATTAGTTGTAATATATATTTCGTCAAGCTATTCGCTTGTGTTTGTTAAGTCGTCTACATTATTATAGCTTATGTAGTATGCAAATCAGAAACGTAGAAAAAAAAGAGAATTTATGTTTATTCAGCTAAATGTACACGTTAACGGTAAAAAACTATGTGTATTTATAATTTTCAATGCAGACCTAAATCAATCATTATAATGTACTATTCTGTGTAAAATGATATTTCATATATTGCCTAGTCATTGTGTATCAATTCTATCGGGTTTCTTTATTGAATGGCATCACTTTGACTCTTTTTTTGAGAACCATTGTAGATTTGATTGAGCTTGTTTTCTAGGAGGTAATTTGACAATTTCATTCACAACAAATCTTGATAGCCCCGAAAAATATTTCGACATGGATAAATAGTTTGGGACTTTTGGTAAAGGTCAATAAATAAACAATTTGACATCACTTCGAATTGTTTATCGTCCTACTTACAAATGACGTGAAATTTTGACACAACAACACATTATAACATTCATTAGATATGCTTGATTTCAAGTAAGAAATTAAGAAATTCCGTATGTCTGTTAATTGTCAATACGATTATACTTGCTGATAATGTTGTGTCACAATAGATTTCATGTTTTTACACATTTGAAATCTAACAATGATGATTGATTAATGATTTTAAATGTGTAAAAACGCAAACCTCCAAAACTGTGCCCCAAAATTTCATGTTGTCAAAAGAAACAGACCAGAAAAAGTGTATATAGTTGTGTTTTTCACTCGTCGATTAAACATCTTACCTGCGAAACGCTCTTTTTCTTTATGAAGACATGAATCCAATTCTTTTACGACGAGAGAGTTATCTTCAATGGGCACTAAATGAATTGAAGTGAAGAATTGATTCAAAGAGCATTATACATTTGAATAGTTATATTAGATCATTATATTATTTTAAACACCTTTTTTAAAATGATACACTGTGGTGCGAGCTACTTATAAGTAGTATATGACGCGAGTGTCAACGTAATGTCTGGTAGCAGAAGATGGTGGAAGATCAAGAAAGGAAGAGTTAGAACACAATGGAATTTGTATGAAACGCATGAATAGTGACAATGGATTGATGTCTTGCAACAGGAACAGTCCAGTTCGATATGATGAACTGATATTTTGCAAATTAACGATTTACGATATGGTTTTCCTATTTTACTGAGTAACTGTGTAATTTTAGATAAATAAAATCCGATTCCCTCACCTGTGTTCTCGTTCACTACAACACTACACATCGGATGAATTGCCTATAAAATCTATTGTACATTATTTAAAGAGGAAAAAAAGGATAAATGATTCCAGGAATACGTACTTTTCAATTTAAATGTTAACCATTCACTGTAGTGTTTAAACTCTGAGATGATAAAAAAAAAAAATAAAATGAAACAACCCAGAAATAAATATTAATTGAAATGATTGAACCAAAATTTCAGAATTACCACTCTTTTTATTATTAGAACAAACAGTAAACAATGTTTATGAATGTATTTTTAAACCTTCTATTATCTTCCTGCGAGCTTCGCTATGCAATTTGTGATTTCCACAGTATACATCTACAATCACAATGTTATTAAAATGAAGTGATATATATATATATATATATATATATACTGTTTGACATACACACATCGATATTTGTGATTCGCCTCTTTTGCTTATATTCCTCTGAAGAACATGAGAAAAAAATAGAAGTAAAATGGACGTATATTTGTATGTGACTTATAGTTACTGATAGTTAACACTGAATTATCGATTCGTATTTGCATATATGTTTGTGTGTTCGGTATGCATTTCTGACTAGCAATCATTTGATATATATATATATATATATATATATATATATATATATATATATATATATATATAACCGGAAAAATAAAGAAATTTACTTGTCTTGTTTTGTAAAACGACCTCAAGGCGTTCTATACCAGATATTGAATAGCCTATGAATTCTAAATTTTGAATATATAGATTGATTTAGAATTAAAAAAAAAACACATCTCATGTCAATAGGTTTGTATTTTATTATTACGGGTGTATTCAAAAAATGATTATTCTCTACTAAGATAAATCTTTCAATATTCCGTTCACTTATTATGACATTGGAATAAACAGACAATGTTAATGAAGCGCACTATGATGTGTTCATGAGATTCACAGTCTGAGCAAAACAGTTTCATGTAAATTTGTTAAGTTACAACTTACTTTTGGTTCTAGCCATCTCTCGGTTGATTATCTTAAGCTGTTTTTCAAAAATATCTGAAATAAAAATGAGACCATGATACTAACATAAGTATTTGCGATATGATATGTTTGTAAGCATTCAGTAATATATATATATATATAGATTTTTAACAGCAAAATATATGTAAGTCTGTAGTATTCAACTAACTTACACATGGATAAATAACAATTATATTTATTAATTTATTTATAGTTGTAAATAAATTTTTTTTAAAAAAAAAACGAAACCACCCTGTTTATAAAATAAATATATTTACTACCTACCATTTTGTGTAGATGTTTGAATAAGCAAGAAGTAGGCGTATAAATAAAATATCATCAATATACTGCACATTTTCACTCAGACAACTTTTCATTTCTTTCTTCTGCTTATATATCTAGTAAGAACACTGGTTATTGGTTAAGTGAAATTTGATTGGAAAACAAAATGACAATGATTTGTTTAAGTTATAGATAGATATGAGAAGTAATGCACACGCACTGCCTACACAAATACGCTTGTGATTATGATAAGAGTAGGTTGTTTAGTGTAGTTTGTTCAAACATCAGGGTGCTTTGATAGCTTAGCATGTTAGTACACTGACTAATGATTATTTCACACAGAAAACAATTCATTTAGAGGCATTCTAGTGTTTATTAAATTTTTGGCCAAGCTAATCGCTATGAGAATTCATACATACTTTTCAGTACTTACTTACTTACTTACGCCTGCTTGAGTGTGCATATAACTGCGTGTTCTTATAGCTCGGTTTATAAATCAGAAGATGAACTCCAAGTATCGTATACGTTTATTTGAGGCACACCACATAGCGAATTGGAGAAGGCTAAGAGCCAACTCTTTGGATTACAATGCAAGCGAATGAGCGGAGCGAATTGGAGAAGGCTAGTGAGCCAACTCAAAGAGATAGAGTATGACTAAGAATATATAGTCCGATAAAAATAAGACAGACATATGACAAGCGAAATAGGTATGCACACACATGAATAAGAGCGACGAATGATTGACAAGGTCAAATGCAAGCGATACAAATCATGTGAGTTCATGGGAAAAATACGAGATTAACATTAAAGCGAAAAGGATGAGTAAGTGCGTAAGCGTAAGCAATGCTCAGTCGTACAAGCTCATACAAAGCAGATAATAAAAAATAACAATGGTACATACAAGTTGTTGCTAAGCGAATGGCTTGGTTAAATAAATTAATCGAAAGGCTTAATCAAATTAAATATGAGCGAACTCAAGTTTATGTGGAGGCACTACACTGCTACCCCCAATGGAGCATAGGCCATCGTCTAGTATTCTCCAGCCAACTCTGTCCTGAGCTTTCCTTTCCAGTTCTGTCCAATGTTTGTCCATTGCTCTTATATCTCTCTCTATTTCTCGGCCTATTGTGTTCCTTGGCCTTAATCTTTTCCTCTCGCCTTGAAGGTTCCATGTGAGGGCTTGTCTTATGACGCAGTTAGCTGCTTTTCGTAGTGTGTCCTATCCACCAACTCCACCGCTTCTTCCTGATTTCCTCATCCAATGGAATCTGGTTTGTTTTCTCCCACAGTTCATAGTTGCTGATGGTGTCTGGCCAACTGTTAATAAACACTTGTATCTTCTGGATGATGGCTTTGGTAGTTCTCCATGTTTCAGCTCGATACAGTAGAACTGTCGTCATCTTTTTATTGAAAATCCTGATTTTAGTTTCGGTTGAAAGTTGTTTGCAGTTCCGGATATTTTTCATACATTCAAGGCATTCATTACCAATAATAAACACAAAACTAGTGAATCAATGGACGTGACACAGTTTTTGATACCAGATTTGAATGTTTAAACATTCATTCATAAACAACGATATCAAATTTGTCTTTATTTATTGGTAAGTAGTTAGTCAACGTAACAGTGGAGACAAATGTTATGATATATCGTCGAGTAGAAACCTCCTTACAGTCGGTCAAGATATCTCGAATAACTGCCCTGTTCCTAGTTTTTTTTTTTTCAAAAACAGCATACACAAATTCGTTCACTTGCATGTCACAAGACATATGCAAAAGTTAGTAGACCAGTTAGGAATAGGAGAAATAGACATTCAAAAGTTTATAGTACGCAACCAACTCGTTGTCAATTACAATCAGTCTATATTTTATAGGTATATATCTTTATGATGTGCTTATATTGAAGATTTTATTTTTCCTTCTCCACAATACATATGTTGTTTAAAAATGATATTCAATATGCCTACAGCCATCTTTTGTCAAATACACCAGAATAACAATAAATTGTACTATTGAAATGAGCAAATTACTGCATTTCACAAATATTTCACAAATCTAAATATAGCACTTTATGTGTACATAATGAAGAACTGAGTTTTTTGTGAACTTTTCACGCAAAAACAAACAAACAAAACAATAAAACTGATCATTACATATAATGTGGCATCATGTTACCATCACCATAAATTCCATTCTACTAATTAGATGTGAAAATTAAACTGTCCGTTATTAAATTTTAATGCAAAATAAACGTAATGGAATTCAGCGCCAAATTTGTGCTATGTATGCAATTTTGTAAACATTTAAAAATGATCACAAAATATAAAATATTGTAAATAATAATTAGTCATCTTTGTATTGCACGTGCTGAATACAAACAAATTATTGTCTCAATATCTATCTCCCTAACAATCTACCTAACTATCTATCCAGACATCTAAATATCTATCTATCTATCTAACCGTCGAACTATTTATCTAACTATCTATCTATCTAACTATCTACAAATCCATCTATCTAACTATCTATCTAACTATCTATCAATCAAGCAATCTATCAAACTATCTATCTATCTATCTATCTATCTATGTATCTATCTATCTATGTATCTATCTATCTATCTATCTATCTATCTATCTATCTATCTATCTATCTATCTATCTATCTATCTATCTATCTATCTATCTATCTATCTATCTATCTATCTATCTATCTATCTATCTATCTATCTATCTATCTATCTATCTAACTATCTATCTATCTATCTATCTATCTATCTATCTACCTATCCAACTATCTATCTATCTATGTATATATCTAAATATGTATCTATCTATCTATCTATCTATCTATCTATCTATCTATCTACCTATTCAATATGAATACAGCCATTTTGTCAAATACACCAATATATATAATGTGTTTTTAAAACTTGCTCGAACTATTCGCCATTCAAATTTAAAAGTTAATCTTCTGTTAATAATTTTGAAACTATTATGATATATCACATTGTTGTCTCAGAAAAAAGGCAATTCATCAGTCCGTTCTAATCAGAATTCTGCTTCTGAATTTCCTCTATTGATACAAATAACTTACCATTAGTTATCTCACAAGTGAATTGTCTTTAATAACCTACATTAGCGCAGGTGTACAGTTAGTGTTCTGATATTAAAAAAAGTATGAGTAAACATACATTTGATCTATCCATAAAGGTATGTTCAAAGCCGTTGTTTGCTTTGAACAAGAATATTTTCTGTTCGGCTCCTTGTCCCGTTTTCTTTATTCCTCTTTTGTCAGCACCTTATTGCAAAACACGTATATTACTCTGGATATCTGCAGTAGACTTGGTTACCCAACCCAGGAACATGTGAAATCATTGCTGATGAATATCAACCAGACCTTTGTACATTCATTCAAACCTGTCTCTACCATGAATCTTTTCGAAGTCGAAAAGATGATAGTCGTAACGCAACCTTCGTAACTCGCGCCAATTATTTGCATTGTACATTCCATCTATCGGAATCCAATGGATCTCTGGAAATGTTTGCGTAACTGTATACCGTTTTAAAAGAAACATGTTGCTAATCTTAACATTTTGATCTTGCCTGTAAATTGGCATGTCTGTTGTACCATGTTTGTTATTTGAGAATAAATTAATAATAATTATTATTATTATTAATATCATAGTGATTTGAAACTGGATCCAGTAAAGTTTATATTAGTCTGGTGTATTTCATACCATATTATTGATCATATTATAAAATGTCCACGTGGAAAAATACATTATCTGCAAGCACTGGACAATGGGGCAGACAACATCAAAGAAGTTTAATACGGCCTTTCTTCGGGATACCGTAACACCAAACGAATTCAAGATAGCCCTCACCAATAGGTTCCAGGCCTTTCAGAACCTACTCAATGGAACGGACGCAACATTGGAGTAGAATTGGAAAGGGATTAAGGAGGCAATCACTTCAACATGTCAGGAGGTCCTTGGTCGCAAGAAGCACCATCACAAGGAATGGATCTCTGTTGGTACTCTTGAAAAAATTGAAGAAAGGAGGAACAAGAAGGCAACAGTGAATGTCAGCCGAACAAGAGCAGAGAAAGTTAAGGCACAAGCTGAATACACAGAAGCAAACAGGGAAGTGAAGAAGAGCATCAGAGCTGACAAACGAAAATATGTGGAAGATCTAGCAATGATGGCGGAAAAGGCTGCAAGAGAAGGAAACTTGAGACAATTGTACGAAACTACAAAGAAGCTGGTCGGAAGCTATCGTAAACCAGAACGACCAGTTAAAAAGTAAGGAAGGCAGAGTAATCAGCAACACTGAAGAACAGCGAAAAAGGTGGGCAGATCACTTTGAGGAACTATTGAATCGACCAGCTCCACTGAACACACCCAACATCGAACCGGCATCCAAGGACCTACCAAATAACATTGACGCACCTACAATTTAAGAGATCAGTATGGCCATCAGACAAATCAAGAGCAGCAAAGTAGCAGGACCAGACAACATTACAGCAGAGGAAATGAAAGCAGAGGTAGAAGCAACTGCGAAAATATTTCACATCCTCTTCAAGAAGACTTGGGATGAAGAATAAGTAACAACAGATTGGAAACAAAGATACCTCATCAAAATAGCAAAGAAAGGCGATCCCAGCAAGTGTGAGAACTACAGAGGCATCACTCTTCTGTCAGTACCAGGCAAAGTCTTCAACAGAGCATTGTTAAACAGAATGAAGGACTTCGTAGACGCCCAACTTCGAGATCAACAGGCCGGATTTCGTAAGATCGATCGTCTACTGACCAAATTGCTACATTACGGATCATTGTGGAACAATCAATTGAATGGAACTCACCACTCTACATCAACTTCATCGACTTCGAGAAAGCATTTGATAGCGTGGATAGGAAAACACTGTGGAGGCTTCTTCGACACTATGGTGTGCCTGAGAAAATAGTCAACATCATACGGAATTCTTATGATGGATTCAACTGCAAAATCATGCAAGGAGGTAAGCTGACAGACTCTTTCGTGGTGAAGACCGGTGTGAGGAAAGGTTGCTTACTCTCATCCTTTATCTTTCTCCTGGTGATCGACTGGATTATGAAAACGTCGACGTCTGGAGGGAAGCACGGTATCAACTGGACAGTTGGGACACAGCTGGACGATCTGGACTTCGCAGATGACCTGGCTCTTCTATCTCACACTCAACAACAACTGCAAGAGAAGACGACGAGTAAAGCAGCAGCCTCTGCAGCAGTAGGTCTCAACATACATAAAGGTAAAAGCAAAATTCTCCGATGCAACACAACATGCACCAATCAAATCACTCTTGATGGAGATGCCTTGGAGGAAGTCAACACCTTCACATATCTTGGCAGCATAGTCGACGAGAAAGGTGGATCCGATGCAGATGTGAGGGCGCGGATCGGCAAAGCAAGGGCTGCATTTTTACAATTGAAAAATATCTGGAACTCCAAACAACTTTCAACCAAAATCAAAATCAGGATTTTCAATACAAATGTCAAGACAGTTCTACTGTATGGAGCGGAAACATGGAGAACCACCAAAGCCATCATCCAGAAGATACAAGTGTTTATGAACAGTTGTCTACGCAAAATACTTCGTATTCGTTGGCCAGACACCATCAGCAACAACGAACTGTGGGAGAGAACAAGTCAGATTCGAGTGAAGGAGGAAATGAGGAAGAAGCGGTGGAAGTGGATAGGACACACATCGCGGAAAGCACCTTACCGCGTCACGAGACTAGCCCCCACATGGAACCCTCAAGGGAAAAGGAAAAGAGGAAGGCCAAAGTATACATTACGCCGAAAAATAGAGAAAGATATGAGAGGAATGAACAAACATTGGACAGAACTGGAGAGGGAAGCCCAGGACAGAGTCGGTCGGAGAAAACTGGTGGGCGGCCCTTGCTCCATTGGGTGTAACTGGCGTAAGCAATTAAGTAAGTAAGGTCAGATTAGTTAGATTTTAGCGTAAATGCATTCAAACTGCTCTATAGGCAGTTAAACTGATAAGAGATTGATAATATTATAGGCAGGCACTAAGATTTGATATTACACAAGGAGAAATCAGTTCTTATTATATGTTTTGTATCTGAAGCTGACACTAATTCTGTGGATAGATAAGTTGTTGATATGTTGATATTCCTAATGTAGTCACTATGTCCTAAGAAACGATATTAACCTAAACCTTATTTTTTGCGTTGATAAGTTTCACCTGAATGTAACAATATAACATCATGTTAGTTAGGAAAATTTGTGTGAAAATGATGTATATTTTCATCAATGCGAATTATTTATTGACAGTTTCTCTCTAGCTACGTCATTACCAATCGACGATGGTTAACATTATTGTGAATATGAATGATGTATTTCAATGAACTTGATGTACAGTAAGAGGTGTCAGATGTTGACTGAAATAATCAACTTCACCATTATGGAATTTTTCGGATAAACAAGCATAAAATTCGATAACTTAAGTTTCCACGAACTGACGTAAACTCTTTCGCATGTGATTCACGTTTCGGTAAGAAAACATATGCACCAGATGGTTGCGGTCTTTCTGTTTCACCTTCATAGTACAATAGTTCAATTTTCAAATTTATCTCAATACCACTTTTAACATGCTTCATTATAATTTGTGTGAAATTACCAACTTGATCATAGTATTGTTTGAAATTAATAGTTTGCGTATGAACAGTAGGATTTTGTTTCGTCGAAGATGTTGATACTGATGGTGAGGACGTACGATTGATTGTAAAATGAAATATATTTAAGCCAACTGGTGATACGTTTTTCGCATTGAATAATACTTCATAATTTGCTCGATGTTGAGAAGACATTCGTTCAGGTATTTGAAGTGTTCTTTGACTGATGAAATTCAGTTGATATGGTAATGATTGATGTGATTTCAAACTGTTGCGTAGATCTTTTAAAATAATTTGAAATTTATTTAACAAACCTCCATCATCGGAACTATCCGGAATGTAAATGGGGAAACGAATCCACGTACTTGACTGTTCCCAGCCTAATGAATTATACAGTAGAATGAAAACACCATCATCAACGTCATTAGTGTACACTGGTTGGTAGTTTTCGGTTGCATTACATAAACTAATGTTTAATAAATCACAAAATGTCAAGCCTGAATGAGATTTGAATTTCAGGTTGGGTAACAGTTTTATGTATGAATTTCCAATTAAATTTTGACATGAATTTGACCCAGTGTATAAACGTAAAGTATAGTCATTAGTTACATGTTGTTTAGCTGTACCAGTTACAGCATCATGATGTTGTAATATACCAAGAATTTTACGCAAATTATCAATTCGTTCTTCGTTATCATATTGATTAGTTTTATTCGTCAATTTGTTTGGAATACGGTTTGCAAATAAATGAATCTATTTTTGTAAAGATACGAAAATGTGAAAAGTAATGAATTAAAGTATGTTCTTGTCAATTATCTTACTGAACATTTGGCGAACAATATCTGCTAAGTGATAAATGAACTGTCAACACTACGTATGAAGCATGAATAATCAGTGACCATCTGAACTACGAATGTCTGTGAAGTTCTTTACATATACTCGAATCACAGTTCCTTATTCTTCAACGCTAACGGCACTGTGTCAAAGGCTTTCGCAAAGTTGAGAAATACTACGTGCACTGGTCCAAGCAGGATTTCCAACTTTCCTATGCGATGTGTTGCGCTTCATGGAGTATTTTATATATGCATATATGCATATATATGCATTTTAATTTTATGAATTTGTTCGCCAATTAGCTCGCTGGCGTGCTCGACCTTCTATGTGTGGTTGTGGTCTGCAGATCCATTTGTGATTTGCCAAAACATACGTAGTTAACATTTCGTTTTCGATATTTGATTTATAAACCGTTAGGCGCTATATAGTGGCGATTGTGTGGACGAGCAAATTACGAATTCTGAGAACACGTTGGATACTGACCGTCAAAAAACTGGCGATACATAGGCCAACATAAGCACAAATAACTAACAAAACTGATGAAAATTTCTTTCACAATATCAATCACGAGAATATCCTAACCATTTGAAATCGAATAATTTACGTGATTACAAATGTAGTAAGCTAGTAACGATCATGTGTGACTGAACTATGACACATTTGAAATGATTGATTTTTTTATGAACTTGTTAGGCATCTAGGAAAATCTGGATGAATATTTCGGACTTGAACCCATACATTTATCAAGCTTGATAGTTCAATAAAGTCTTTCAAATCACTGCATACATAGGTTTATTCTAGTATATAGCTTGTGTTTCTTCTTACTGAAAGCAAATCTTGTAGACGAACACGCTTCGGAGTCTCATAAGCGCTGATGTTCTGGTGTGTAACGAAGTCTCAGTATTGATACAGAAGGCTTGATTGGTTTTTAACAACTTACATTATTTATGACTTAAGTGAGATATCTGTCTGCAGACAAAAGTAGACGTGTACTGCCTGTTTGTCAGTTAGTTCCCTTGAGGATACTCGTAGGTTATTAGTATGCGATTATAGATTTCTTCGACGCATTGCTCGTGTTTCTCAGGAAAACGGAGTAGACAATACTGATGTTAGGATACGAGTACTAGGTATGCATTATCTCATCTCAATACAATCCTACTAAAAATGAATATGATGTAACTACGTGGTCAGAAAACGAAGATACACGAGGCAAATTGTTTCACACTTTCTTGCTAAATTTTTTTCAGCTTAGTTCGAAACAAAGTCCTGATTCCTAAGAAAACAAAATGAGAACTACTTTTTACTTACGTGCTCACACATTGATAATAAGTTTGATGCTTGACGTACATAATACTTCAATGATGGTCGACTAGTATAATAACCTGTCCAGTATGTAAATTGGCCACTAGCATATGGAAAGAAGTCACCACTACGATGATTGATTGTACCTATACGATTAAATTCTTCATTTACTGCTTTTGTATAACATGCTGGTGTAGAATAGAGTAGATTGATTTTGCTACCATACTCTTGTGCTGCATTAACATATTTAATTAACTTATCCATATTATTGTAATTAATATGAGCGTTTTCATATGTAAAATCACAACCCATTAGAACCATTATATGGTTTGTCTTGAAAGACTTCGATAGATGATGAATGTATGTTTGGAATTTTTTAACAATACTATCAACATTATATTCTTGAATCGATGGATTATCTACAATTGTATTATATGGAAACTTACTGTCAAATTCAAAAGTAGGTGGATAACAGTGTAGATTTATTTCGACAGTGGCTGTCCCAATTGTTTCCTATAGAAACACTCCTGTACGTTCCTCCTAGTTCCGGGTCCCGACCAAATCAAAAAGGGCAAAATTCTAGGAGAAAACGTCTCTATATTATTATAAAATGGAAATACAAAGTCTTACGGAATTTGTGTTTCTTCCAGGGTTAAATTACTCCGCAGAGTATCCAACACAATAGCCGATAAGTGAAGCTAAGTCCAGCAGCCACCGCGTCCGTCCAAAAATGTGGCGGTAGCCATATTATATCAAATTTAAACAATATATGTACAGTTCAGAAGCAAACCCAAAAACTTCAATATAAGTACAAATATAGAAAGAATAACAATATACAATGATAAAATCTCAAATTGGAATCAAATAAAATACCAAAAATGTCAAGAGAAAAAGTCCATCATGTCATAGCAAAAATATGTAAACATGGAGGGATTTTCCAAAAACACAAAACATTCAAAAAGAATTCTACACCGGCCCGCAAAATCCCTCCATGCAAAAAGAGCAAGCGTTAATGACACTTTATTTAGGGTTCCCATGTTATCCCCTAATCCACACCGGAATAACGTGTAGGACTTACAGCAGTACGCCTACCCGCCATCCAACATGGATATGACCTATCGTGTTAACTAGGTACCTATACTTTCCCATCAGGCCCTTGATTCCCCTATCTATCGTGGAATGACCTAACGGTAGTATAAACCTTACCCAATTAACCCATACGAACATGAACAACACGTCGCAAAACTGGTCATATCCTATCCAAGGACTACATTCTCTATCATGGGGACGAGTCGCCAATCCACCACCACTTGCTCCGATCAGCAGATACCATGAAGTCCGTGATGCTAACTTATCAACAGAAGTTTTTGACCCATAAATAATATGCAAGGGTGGGATCTCCAATTTTGACATTTCATCGTCTCCAGAAGACCTTAAGTAGCATGACGTAGGATCAATATTTATCCTTCCATCTCCTGATGCAGAGGAGGTTTGAACAGTATTCATCATCGTCGGTAACTCATTTGTCACATCAGTGACATCCAGTTTATTATCAACGTCTAAATGATTCCGTTCTGCATTAGCATCCGTTTCCGCGGCACAAGACATATGCTCAACAATAGCATCGTCATCACACAGCACTGTAGACTGGCTGTTACCATCAAACACTTTCTTCTCATCATCACTCGACTGACAGTCAACCGTAATAGGAACAGTTACAGTTGCACAACCTTGTGCATCTTCAATCAACTTAACCTTCGTGACGAGGTCCGATGGCGTCGAAACACTAGGAGGCTCATTCGATGAAGTTGATAAACTAGTCCCTATAAGTGGACTGCTGACACTTTCTATCTCCTTATTATCACTGTCACTACTAAGGTTCTGATGGCTACTATTTCCATGGCTAGTCGTAGCATCCGAAAGAGCATGAGGTTCAGGCTTCTTAGTAATAGTAGCATCATGTTGTCTCCTAGGCTTCTTAGCCGTTACTGTACCACCATCACTTATCCTAGAATCTACTCTAGGTCCAGTTATATAATTTACCCTAACTGAAGGGTTCCGAAAATAAGCTTTATTCCGTTCAGTCAATCCTGCCTGGGTCTTATTCATATTTGCTGAACTCATTAACCTCTGATTACTCGAATCCAAATAACCGTTCCAGGCTTTTCGAGCAGCTAAGAGGCTTTTATCATCACACACTTCGGATCCATCTTGATGCCTACACTTTTCACCTTTTTCTTTCTTTTCTATACTTAGAAAAGCCATCTTATCTGTTACACCAACCGGCTTCTTGCTAGGACACGCATCAAGAGGCTTTACATCGTTACGGTCACATACTCGTCCTTCATCAGCGTATGCTTTCGTGATATAATTGACAAATCTCTTATCTTCCGAGCGTGCTTTAGGTAGAAACGAAAAATCCTCATGTCTCGCACGCAGACCACTAGTAGCTTCCGTATTATTTCCTGTTTTAGCCTGATAAGCTAATCTTCCAAACCTACTACTAGCTATCTTAGCACGAGACATAATAAATTCCGTCAATTCGTTAAAATTGGGCTCTCTCTCCTCTTCGTCCCACTTGAATACTAGCTCTGCCCACTGGGCTTGCATTCGACGAGGTAAGAGCCTTACTATTCGTTCTAAAGTAGCCATAGAGTTAAGTTCCGTTGTGCAATTGAGCTGTTCTAAAGTTAAAGCAGCATTCTGCATTTTAATAGCCAAGTTCGTCAATGATTCAGGATCATTAAATTCTACATTCCCAGTTCTAAATAAGTCCTCTAAGGTTTCTCGCGCTATTACATGCGACTGTCCAAAGAGCTGTTTTAGAATGGCCTTAGCTCTCTTATATCCTGATTGTGGATCCATAATAATACAGCCTTCAATCGCATTTTTTGCTTTTCCCTTACAATAATGAATTAAATACAATAAACGCACTTGATCATCCTTTATTCGAGGTTCTATAAACGTCTCTATTTGTCGTATGAACCTAAAATAGTCGCGAGACCTTCCATCAAAAAATGAGAGTTCAACCTTAGGTAGTTCTAAACCCTCTATCGATGACTTACAATAATAAATATCAGACATAACATGTGGGTTACCCATAAAAAAGTTATCATTAACGACTTGCCTAGAGCCCTGTGATCCGTCGAGCTCTTCCACCGTCCTCATGTGTGATTTTTTTCTGTTTGACATCATAAATAAAGTTCAATAAAGACGGTAACAATACAAAATAGAGTAATTCCACAGTTCAGTTCAAAATTACGATGAATAATCCAACTTCTTCCTCCAAGGAAGTCTAGTGTGATAAACGATTAAAATTCCAAATGTTTCTTTATAATTCTTAATAATCCGAATAGTTCCAAAATATATACGTTCAGATGAATATTTCCAAAGTATAATCCACGAAAGAAGAAAATTCCAGACTGTAGATTTATTTCGACAGTGGCTGTCCCAATTGTTTCCTATAGAAACACTCCTGTACGTTTCTCCTAGTTCCGGGTCCCGACCAAATCAAAAAGGGCAAAATTCTAGGAGAAAACGTCTCTATATTATTATAAAATGGAAATACAAAGTCTTACGGAATTTGTGTTTCTTCCAGGGTTAAATTACTCCGCAGAGTATCCAACACAATAGCCGATAAGTGAAGCTAAGTCCAGCAGCCACCGCGTCCGTCCAAAAATGTGGCGGTAGCCATATTATATCAAATTTAAACAATATATGTACAATTCAGAAGCAAACCCAAAAACTTCAATATAAGTACAAATATAGAAAGAATAACAATATACAATGATAAAATCTCAAATTGGAATCAAATAAAATACCAAAAATGTCAAGAGAAAAAGTCCATCATGTCATAGCAAAAATATGTAAACATGGAGGGATTTTCCAAAACACAAAACATTCAAAAAGAATTCTACAAAAAGTATGTATCATAAATATTCCAGTAAATAAACCATACAATTTAGTGTTAGTTATTGTTTTCTCATATACATTAGTACTTTTCTCATTAGAAGTAGTATGCCATAGAATTTCCAATTCTTTCAGTTGTTTTCGTTTTTCTTTCTCACGAAAATCCATACGTTGAAAGTAGACAGCATCGAAACCGGCGTCTTGAAATAAATCTGAATGATCACGTGCATGTCCAAATGGATCAATTTGCCAAGCAACTAATGGAAGTCCACATTCACCAAACAATTGTTTGAAAAAAGATCACGTCCAAGTGTCAACTGGTCAATTGCATCAGTGTAATATACTGTCGCTTCATCAGCCATACTCCAACCGCCGGAAGCGAATTGTAGTCGTCCTGTTTCGACTGAATCTTTGACTAAATGTTGTATTTCTTTCGACTGTACCATCCACCACTGGTAAAAATACACTATTTCAACATAGGTAAAGCGACGTTTTGGATTATGCGCTAAAGCGGAAACAACACTGTCTAAGATGTATTGAACGCCAGCTTGTTGAATCGTGTTGTTCGTGCCGTAATAATATTGATCGACTGTTTTCAACCAGCCAACATCATCATGAGTATGCGGTACTAGATGAACATTAAGATATCCTGATTTTCCAGTTTCACATGACTCGTAACCACATTTAGAAGAGGAAAAATACTTTAACAAATCACTGAAACTAATACTATGACATTGATTTATGAAGAGTAATAATAGAAATTGTATGGTTACAAGTTTTGCTACGGTTGAGTGTGATGCAGCGAAATTCCACTTTAAAGACATCAGATTTATTTAGCAAACATTGTCAAAAAATAAGTGGTCTTTTGTAGTTGCAAATTTGAAAATCGTCTAATTTGAGCACTTTTAATGCATTTCTTTTAACCAGTGTACATATAACTCTGATATTATTGATTAAAAGATTGAATAAGGGTGTGTGTGTGATTCACTTCTAGTAAATTATGTGAAATACAGATCGACAATTTTTCGAATTGTTGGTTAGTTCTACACTTTACATAAAAATCGCTTACCTAGCAAAATAACCAATGACTGGTTTTCTTTCATTGGTCTACTGGATTATTAGGTTTTAATACGTAATGGCTATTCACGTTATCTATTTTCCGTTCACTACATTTCACGTCAATAGACTACACCGGCATAGCTTGATAATCTGCATGCCTCAACAAAAACATCTGAAGATTCCTAACCCGTTGGAATAAAAATGTAAACAGCAAACCTGTTAAATAAGCTGACGCGTAGCTGAAATCAGTAGCAGAGTGGATAAAGTATGAAATTTTGTGAATGCAAACACAAGATACAAATTCACACATGATTGTTGCAACAGGAATGAAAGATTATCCAGTTCAAATGTAGACTATTCGACTATCCGAGGTCCGATAACTATGTCCGAATTCATGAATGTGAACTGCTGAAGACTACGATACTAAGACGTAACGGCAGTGTGTATACTGCAGTCTGCATAAACTTTCATTTGTGTTAAGTATTACGATCACATCTATCAGTTCTTGTTCGTTTAGAACAACTAAAATAAAATCAATATTTCACTGTATGAAACATGAATGAACATATATTTCTCTTAATTGTAAACATCAGTCTTTATATGAAATATGGATTGTTTAATCTCTGACAATTGTTCTCTGTCGTCAAACACAAACGTAGCATTGAAATGCTTTACAAAATCATCATCTTTGCAGAGTGTTTTGAAATATTTTCTCTTAGAATTTATTTCAAAAGGCTAGGCGATCGCATTTATTCACGTTTCGTGAGACAATTAGAGGAACTTTCAGAAAATAAATCACAACATACTCATAAAATAGCAAGTAAGCTGTACGTAAATCAGTGAGAAAATCAGTGTGGAAGTTGACGCGATATTTGTAATAGATAGATGCCAACAACTACACATTGTGTTATTGAATTATGATTCTAATCATATAAAACTGAAGTGATGAAATATCCATCGATAGTGATTTGGCTTCAGAACGCAAGGTGAAGAATATAGAGGATCTGAAAAAGGCTAAGCGAAGGCATTTATTCATATTTCGTGAGACAATTAGATACCGGAGTGGTAAACGTTGACTAGCCAACTGTTATTCATCACGCTTTACAGATCAGAGCATTAAACTGATGTTGTCAGTGTACAATAAACCCTATAAATGCACATGGTTTTCCTGCTAATTTGCGGAATTCAGAGAGTACACGCAAATTATTTCTCGTCTGATTTTATGTTACCATAGTCCAGTGTCTATGATCAATTTGACGGCTTATCAGTCACATTTTTGTATCTACAAGATACATAAAAACTAATAGCCGCAATGAGCTGGAATTGATCTTATTGTTTTCTCAGTCAAATGATGAGTCTCTACAGGTTTCTGATGTCACCAATCAGAACCAGGTGAAAATTGCATCAAATCGATCAGTATATCGGTCCTTTTGATGTGATGTTCGCTAACCAATCTTTTTACGTTTATTTTGCATCAAACTTCAATGATCAATAACCGGTTTACTCTGGTGCAATAAAACTGGCAGAACTGAACTGATTTTCTCAGAGAGAAATGTGCCACATATTGGTGTTTTATTTATGTGCGTTTCTCTTGATCATCCTTACGACATTGCAGCATGGTGTTTAGTAAATATTGACCAACGTGCCCTGTGAATAACCATGATGATGAGCTGTAACAAAGAGGATTCATTGTGTTCAAAAGTAAGTTTGACCAAAATACGACATCATATTTTGCACAAAAATGCTCAATCTTTGAAGGTATTCAATAATTGTAATACTTGCACATTGGCGATCAGCTTGCTTTAATTCTACATGATTATACTTGGCACACAATGAAAATAATGATCGGTCGTTTTGTATTTACACTCAAACAGACAATTAGATTTTGATGGACAGATATACTCACTGAGTAATTTTGTTTCAAACTAATTTCAGTTTTTTTAACGTGCAGGCAAATTAGGAGTATATGCGAAATTAAATGATGTTCCTTGAATCACGTGATATGTACTTCATTGAGTCCCCATAAGGACATCGTAATTAAGATGAAATCGTCATTGGCGTGAAAATCACGCAGTTCACATTTCTCAATACAGTTGTTCCTTTTTATGTTTGGCTTCGATATTTTCAGTAAATGGCTGATTTATTCAAATTCATGACATAAGTGTACCTGAGGAGACATGTGAATCCTAGTAACATTTCATTAGCAGTCAATACTGGTCAGACTACAATTATTTGATGGACGACAATTTTGTAGTAGGACATAAGGGTCAGTAACAAAGGTACGGTTTGTAGTACGCAAAGGCATACGTTACGATGTCATAATCTCATTCAACCATCGGATTGAACAAGTCCTTGCAGGTCACTGAAACACGGTATGCTGTCGATTTTCACAGGTGTAATCTGACATAATTTCGAACAGACAACTGTAACATTATGTTCGAAATAATTTTAGGAAAACGAGGTTAACTAGATTTTTTAACAAATGAACATTCATATTGATAGAACTAATTGATTTTGTGAAGAATTAACTTAGTGAATAGCTGTGTGAGAAAGTAAAACGGAAAATTTTTAATATCAGTCACTCGAGAATTGTAGAAAACTAATGCATTCCTGCTACAGTGAATGATTCTTAATAAAATCATCCAATGATGATGATTTATGATGAATTGAGATTCTTAGATTTCGAGTGAAATCCAAGAATGCATACATCTGTGTTATTGCAGAACCTTTTGAACCATAACATCGTTATGAAGTTTATATATATATATATATATATATATATATATATACATTTATATATATGTATATATATTTTTATATATATAATTAGCATGGATTGACATTCGCGAGAGCAAACAGTGATTTAGAATGAATGAGCGAATAACTTTCATGTAGTATTATCACTGAACTCGATTCGCACATTGTCTGAAGTTGTAGTGCATCCATATTTATTTGCATCCGCCTACATTTAATTTGCTTAAGCCCTTTCGATTAATTTATTTAACCAAGCCATTTGTATAACAACAACTCATATGTACCATTGGTATTTTTTATTATCTGCTTTGTATGAGCTTGTATGACTGAGCATTGCTCACGCCTACGCGCTTACTCATCCTTTTCGCTTTATTGTTAATCTCTTAATATTCCCATGAACTCACATGATTTGAATCGCTTGCTTTTGACCTTGTCAATCATTCGTCGCTCTTATTCATGTGTGTGCATACCTATTTCGCTTGTCATATGTCTGTCTTATTTTTGGTCTGACTATATATTCTTAGTCATGTTCTTTCTCTTTGAGTTGGCTCTCAGCCCTCTCCAATTCGCTCATTCGCATATTCGCTCGCTAGTGTGTCTTCTCGGTCTGTCTGTCGTCTGCTATCCTTATTGTGGTGTGTTACAATAAACGTATACCATACTTGAAATTCATCTTGTGATTTATTAACCGTCAGACGTCATTTAATTTGAACCAGCTGATTACGAAACTTGAGAACACACCCGATTCGGCACACTATAAAGTTACTGACGGTTCCAATCCGTAATAAAACAGAAACGTAAGAATTATCTACAACACCTGATAAATTAGTAAGAATTATACTGTCAGTCAATGCGATTTCCTACAGTTTGATGAAACTGGTGTTTCAAGGCTGATTTAGTGAACTTCACAGTTTCAGATGCGGGAAGTGAGGTAATCACGTAAAGTTTGTTTGGCTGCAGGATGGACATGGTTGCAGTCGATCGATCACTGAATGATGACCGATGCTTGTTGTTGATCCAAATCTTGACTGTTTGCCGAATACTATACGTACAGTTGCACCGCGACCACTTAAGCTACTCAATATAGTATAAACAGACTGAAAAATACTAGCTAATGAGGAAGTCAAAACAAACACCGAGAGAAGGTATTCAGCCTCATCATTCGACACCTCCTCTATCTACTCAATTCATTTCACAACTCTTTAGGTAGATCTATGAGTATATTTATACAATCGCCTTATTGCTGTTTTTTTCTCTATTTGTATTGGCTGTTGTCTGGAGCCTATCGATAGTGAAAATTCCAGAACAATTGCACCATATAGAGTTGCTTGTGCTGTTCACAGCTTTTATCTTAGTGACACTTCCAAACAAATTCACTCCTGAATTATTTGAGAATTCTACTGTGCATGAAGAATTATACGTCAGTCAATGCGATAACCTGCATTTCAATGCCTATAACCAATGAATCTTCGAACTTTTTATCGAATCATGTCCTTTGTTGTAATTTGCCGAAAACGCTTATTCGCAATATTGTGTTAACTATTGAGTCTCATGTCATTTAGATCTATATCAATCTGTTTCTGTCCCCTAATGTTTATCAGGACCACTGAGCCTCATATCCCTTCCAAAAAGACTGAGATATTGATGTTATACGCCTGAATGGTACTTAACGGCCAGCTGACTAGTATTTGGTGTTGACTTAGCTCTGTCGACCGATTTCTAAAACTTGTGAGTATAACATAAAAACGTGAGACTGTGAGCTTTTGAATAATGTGTAGATACAAAGGATACCATAGTTTTTATCAGCGTCAGTTATCGATCATAGCTGCAACGACGCATCAACAAATTTCTCTTCTGATTATTTCTCGGCAATCAGGCCGTTCGAGTTTAGGCAGGTTTGACTGAAACAGATTTTCTTAGTGGAATCCATTAAACACGTGGTTGTGAGCGGGGTGAAACGTCATTGTGTGAAACTTCTGTTCATCAGATGGTAATTTTAAAAGTTTATACA